ACACTGCTGAGGTGGGGGAGGGGCTCAGCCCCATGTGGCTGGGTAAGCAGCTGGCTGCCTCTCTGCCCCCCTCTGTGGCAGAAATGGCAGATAACGAAGTGTGAAAAGCATCACCCGCGAGCCGGTCTGGAAGCTGCTCCCTTGCATGACTGACGAGGTGTGGGGGTCCCAGGCGGCTCCTGGTACGTTTCCATTAGCGGGGTACAGGGCCCAGGCAGCAGCAGGAGCTCAGCAGAGTGGCTGCGGGGGCCAGACCGGGCACAATCCGAGGGCAGCTGGTATGTAGGCGGTGTCACGGAGTCCCCGGGCGATGCTCTGGAACTGCTCCCCACAAAGCCAGTCAGGACTTTCCGGAGCCTCCTCTCCCTCGGAGCAGACCGTCTTCAGGGCAAGAAGCTCACACGGCTTAACCTCCTGGGTCTCTCCTGGAAGCATTCAGCATATGCCCCTCCGTGCGCTTCCCACAGCGAGTCCACCCACGTGGGGTCCTGGGGAAGCCAGAGGGTCCTGCACGCACCCCTACTTTGTAGTCAGACGTGACTCTTAGCCAGCCAGTAAAACAGAGGTTTATTAGATGACAGGAACATGGTCTAAAACAGAGCTTGTAGGTACAGGGGCGAACGGGACCCCTCGGCCAGGTCCATTATGGGGTTCAGAGAGCCAGACACCCATGTCTGCCCTCACTCCTAGTCCCCAGGTAGCTCCAACTCTGAAAACCCCTCCAGCCCCTCCTTCTCTGGGCTTTGTCTCTTTCCTAGGCCAGGAGGCCACCTGATCTCTTTGTTCACCTTTAGCGATTTCCTTGCAGGGGGGGGAAGGGGCCCTGGCCATTTGTTGCCAGGCAGACAGAGTGTCAGTGATTTATGCACAGTGGTCTTTCCCCACCACCTAGAGGCTTAAGAAATGCATAGGGGAAACTGAGGCACCCACACAGGATTCAGAGGAAACATTAAGAACAGTCCCACTTCGTCACAGGGGGGTCTGGGGGTAATTGCAGGGTGGGGGCTCGGCTCACTGCGGAAGGCTGTAATTTGTGCAGCGGGGTGATCAGCAATGGGGGCGGGGGCACCTGGCTCACTCCTGTCCGCGCTGGGCCCACCCTGGCTGTGCCAGGCCAGCCTTCCCTGCTCAGTCAGGGATTGGCAGAGCAGGGCCACATCTGGGAGTTTCCCAGGTGGGGGAGGGGGCTCAGGAGCCCAGTTCTTGGAGGGGCTGGCACCCTGTACACTCAGCCCCCCCCATGGGCAGCCTCAGCCCCCTTCCTGCCCCATAGGCTGAATGAATGGACCCCCCCCGCCGCCGCCAGGGATCCTGCTATTTATGGGTGTGGGCCCCAAGTCCTTAGGCAAGGGCTGGCACCTGGGCTGGGCACTCGCACCTGGGCTGGGCACTCACACCCGGACTCAGGCAGTGCTGTGCCTAACCCCTAGAAGTGCTGGCACCCAGGGGACCCCTGAGCTGTGTGCCCAGGCTGCCCCCCATGCATGGGGAGAGCTGGCATGTGGGCCAGAAAACCAGCTGCCTCCGCCAGCCAGGAGTGAAACGCAGGGGGGCGGGGGGCCTAGGCCCTGCCCCTCAGAGGTTTTTAGCTCTTGCTGGTCGGGGCCTTCAGGCATCTGCCAGGCTTAGGGCGGTGCCCGTCTCTGCCCAGAGTTCTCAGCCAGAGCGAGCAACGTGCCATGTTGCAGCCAGGGCATCTCCTGGGACGTCAGCTGGGTTCGTGGCCCCGATGTGGGGCAAGGACTTGATCCCTCGTACCCCATGAGTGCCCGATTCCCGGGCCGTGGGCTCTGCAGGGGTGGGGAGCTCAGCCGCTCCTGCTGGCACCTTTCTGCTTTGTATAAATAATCAGCTGGTAGCTGGGCCAAGCTGGGAGGGTTCCCAGCCCGTGTCTGCACTTGGCACGGGACCATGCTCCCGTGGGTGTGGGGACAGGCCGCAGGGCTGAGGCGTGCTCCTAGGCGAGCCTATGGGGGTGGGCACCGGGGGGGGGAGCACCTTCTGTGAGACCCCCACCTCGGGAGTGCCTGGGCTCCCAGCAGCTCGTTGGCTGTGGGGCAGCCCCAGAACTCAGGCTCCTTTGCACATGCCAGCCAGTGGAGAGGTGGCGCCTGCAGGGTCAGGTGCCAGCTGGGCAGGGGGTTGTCAGTGCCGATGGCGGATGCCCCTTGGCACTGTTGTGGGCCTGTCCCTGCCCCCCAGAGGGGAGATGCCACTAGCTGCAGCTTGGCAGGCCTGGGTCACATCCTGCTCCAAACAGACCCCCGGCGTGGCCCTGGTCTGTCGCCAAGCCCAGGTCCTGTCCCCTCCTGGCATGGCCCCAGCGGGAGAGGCTGTGGGGACACTGGGGATCAGAGCTGCAGGGGGGCAGACAAACCAGCTTGCACTGCCTTGCCCCTGGGGTCAGTAACCCCTGGAGTAAGGCCCCTGGATGGCTCTGGGGGGATTCAGCGCAAGTTCTCTGCATAACTGAGTGGCTGGGAAGCGCTGGTGGTTCTGGCCCTAGAGGGGGGCAAAGAGCCGGCCTGGGCCTGCGACGTGCTCCCAGGAGGCAGCAAGCTGAGCCACGAGCAGGCCTGGAGCCTGATATCCCACCTGGGCCGCCTGCCCCCCTGGGGTCTCCTGCAGCTGGGCTGGGCTCCGACTGGCTGCTTCCCAACTTGCACGAGCAAGAGGGCAGTGCCGGGATGGGGA